ATGTTATTAAAATTTAATATATTATTAATCATTTAAAGTTTTATATAAATCCATAAATTTTCAGAATTTTTAATGAAACTGAATTTCTTTATAATAATTTTAACACACTTAAGAAATTTTATTTGTAACATATAAAATAGAGCTAAAATTTCATTTTATTTCATTTCAGAATAAATAATAAGAATAATACCTCATAAAGTATTCGATAATTATACTTTTTCATGCTTTTATATGCAGAATATTTAGAAGATTATCGATTTATGTAAAAAGAATTTGAACACGATTTTTCTTCGAATTTCGGAAATAATTCCACTTAGAAAAAAAATACTTTAGCACATTTTACTTAAATTATAAATTAATTTTTTTTTTGGAACTCATAGTTAGATATTTCAATATATTATATATATATATATTCGCGATGCATTCTGCTTTTCGAACCTGACGATATAATTGCAAGTATATAAATATTAAATAAAAATTAGCCCGCTATTCCTTACTTAATTAAAAAAAACTCAAGGACGTGATGCCAATGCGTTACGTATTAGATTAGAGGTTTGATATTTATAGATAAAACTCGGCTCGTCCGTGATTAGCGTCATCTTGTTACCCGCGTTTCACAACGTCATCTCATTAATACCGCCGCCGTCACCGAGATAAACCCTCACGCATTTTCGTGCGTATCGACGAACGGGGCTTATCTGATCTTTCAACCTGGATGCGAGTTCACGCGACCCTACGATCTCTTCCGTAAGACGATAATATCGCGGAACGTTTTCCCACACAATATTGTCAGAACTTCCTCCTTTCTTCCTTTCTCCCCCTCGTTTTTCTTGCGAATCTACAAAGGCGGAGAGTGCGACGCATGCGTCGCGTGACTGGACCGGCCGACTTCTCGTGCACTCGTGAAAATTCTCCAGTTAGCGCCGCGACGCGCTCGAAGGAGCCCTTGTTCGTCGGACGGTCGTCCGCAAAAAGCGACAACACACAAACTTTTGTCACTCTCGCGGCCGCGAAAAAAGAAATTATTATATTATATAAAAAAAAATATATATATATATATATTACGCGAAAGAATTGTTTTCCGGAAGTAGCGCGCGCGATTCAGCCGCGAAAGATGCAACCGGTACGCATCGCGAGGTAATTATAGTATACGTTTACTATCCGGAACGTTTCGATCGTAAAATCGATCGAGACGGTCCCCGTACGGCCTGCGAACATATGTTTTTCATCGCGCGCGCGAAATTATTTGCACGCCGCATCCGACGATGCAATTTGCGACAGAGGATGCATGTTAAGCGTTTCATTCTAATTGATGAGCAATTAATTGTATCATTTAGCGAGCCGCCAGTAGACGCTAATGTCAATTTCTTGTTCAGCGGTTCGTACTGTCATCGATGCATGTTTCTCGTTTCACATTCTTTGACAGTCAAAGATAAAAAT